GGGTCATAATGAATGTTGTCAATTCATGACATATTAACAGGGGACATTGTAAGGGTCATTAAATGTGTGGTCAATTCATGACATTTAACAAATACAAATTGTTGAGTTTGTCCTTTGATGCAATAATTTAAAACAGGATATAAACTTCAATTTTTTCTGAATTGATATGTAAAAATGGCAAACTCACGTTAAATGTCTGTTCCAAGTTCAGTACAACAAGTCATAAATATAATTATTGGACAAGTCTGGACAATACAACTGATTTAAAAACTCTCTTAAATAACAATTTATAGGGCTAAATTACATTTTGATTTTCTCAATATATCTCTATGGTGTTACAGAATTATGTATATAATTTAGATCAAATTTCAAGAACCTGGGGATGTAAGGTTTTTACAATTTTCAACTTTAGACTTTAAATGATTGTCAAACACATCAGTGGTTTCAGCCAATGATTTTGTTGGACTGTCAAACAAGCGAGAGGTTTGGCATACCTAAGACCTGGTTCAGGCCATGACTTTGATCCATTGTCAAACATGCGAAAGGTTTAGAGGTTTGGCATGCCTTTAGACCTGGTTCAGCCCTTGATATTGATCAACTGTAAAACACATCATGACTTTAATCCATTGTCAAACAAGCAAGAGGTTTGGCATGCATTTAGAACTTGTTCAGCCCATGACTTGATCAACTGTGAAACACATCAGTAGTTTTGCACGCCTTAAGACCTAGTTCAGCCCATGATTTTGATCAACTGTAAAACCCATCAGTGTTTTGGCATGCATTAGACCAGGTTCAGCCCATGATTTTGATCAACTGTGAAACATATCAGTGTATTAGCATGCCTTTAGACCTGGTTCAGCCTATGATTTTGATCAACTGTAAAACACATCAGTGGTTTAGCATGCCTTTAGACCAGGTTCAGCCCAAGATTTTAATAAACTGTAAAACACATCAGTGGTTTAGCATGCCTTTAGACCTGGTTCAGTCCATGATTTTGATCAACTGTGAAATACATCAGTGGTTTAGCATGCCTTTATACCATGTTCTGTCCAAGATTTTGATCAAATGTGAAACACATCAGTGGTTTCAGCCAATCTTTTTGAGTCATTGTCAAACAAACCAGAGGTTTAACATGCTTTACGCCTGGTTCAGTCCATGATTTTGATCAACTGAGAAACACATCAGTGGTTTAGTATGCCTTTATACATAGTTCAGTCCATGATTTTGATCTAATGTGGAACACATCAGAGGTAAGGCATGCCTAAAGACCTGGTTCAGTCCATGATTTTGATTTAATGTGAAACACATCAGTGGTAAGGCATGCCTAAAGACCTGGTTCAGTCCATGATTTTGATCAACTGAGAAACACATCAGTGGTTTAACATGCCTTTAGACCAGGTTCAGCCTAAGATTTTGATTTAATGTGAAACACATCGGAGGTAAGGCATGTCTAAAGACCTAGGTCAGTCCATGATTTTGATCTAATGTGAAAAACATCAGAGGTAAGGCATGCCTAAAGACCTGGTTCAGTCCATGATTTTGATCTAATGTGAAACACATCAGTGGTAATGCATGCCTAAAGACCTGGTTCAGTCCATGATTTTGATTTAATGTGAAACACATCAGAGGTAAGGCATGCCTAAAGACCTGGATCAGTCCATGATTTTGATCTAATGTGAAACACATCAGTGGTAAGGCATGCCTAAAGACCTGGTTCAGTCCATGATTTTGATCTAATGTGAAGGACATCAGAGGTAAGGCATGTCTAAAGACCTGGATCAGTCCATGATTTTGATCTAATGTGAAACACATCAGAGGTAAGGCATGCCTAAAGACCTGGTTCAGTCCATGATTTGGATTTAATGTGAAACACATCAGAGGTAAGGCATACCTAAAGACCTGGATCAGTCCATGATTTTGATCTAATGTGAAACACATCAGTGGTAAGGCATGCCTAAAGACCTGGTTCAGTCCATGATTTTGATCTAATGTGAAACACATCAGAGGTAAGGCATGCCTAAAGACCTGGTTCAGTCCATGATTTTGATCTAATGTGAAACACATCAGTGGTTTGGCATGCCTAAAGACCAGGTTCAGCATAAGATGTTGATTTAATGTGAAATACATTGGAGGTAAGGCATGTCTAAAGACCTAGGTCAGTCCATGATTTTGATCTAATGTGAAACAAATCAGAGGTAAGGCATGTCTAAAGACCTAGGTCAGTCCATGATTTTGATTTAATGTGAAACACATCAGAGGTAAGGCATGCCTAAAGACCTGGTTCAGCCTAAGATTTTGAATCAATGTGAAACACATCGGAGGTAAGGCATGCCTAAAGACCTGGTTCAGTCCATGATATTGATTTAATGTGAAACACATCAGTGGTAAGGCATGCCTAAAGACCTGGTTCAGTCCATGATTTTGATCTAATGTGAAACATATCAGTGGTTTGGCATGCCTAAAGACCAGGTTCAGTCCATGATTTTGATCTAATGTGAAGGACATCAGAGGTAAGTTATGCCTAAAGACCAGGTTCAGTCCATGATTTTGATCTAATGTGAAACACATCAGTGGTAAGGCATGCCTAAAGACCTGGTTCAGTCCATGATTTTGATTTAATGTGAAACACATCAGAGGTAAGGCATGCCTAAAGACCTGGATCAGTCCATGATTTTGATCTAATGTGAAACACATCAGTGGTAAGGCATGCCTAAAGACCTGGTTCAGTCCATGATTTTGATCTAATGTGAAGGACATCAGAGGTAAGGCATGTCTAAAGACCTGGATCAGTCCATGATTTTGATCTAATGTGAAACACATCAGAGGTAAGGCATGCCTAAAGACCTGGTTCAGTCCATGATTTTGATCAAAGGTGAAACATATCAGTGGTTTGGCATGCCTAAAGACCTGGTTCAGTGCATGATTTTATGACATATGATGTGTTTATCACATAGGTTACAAGACATGTGGTTTTCTTATGACAGGAACAGTTAATGGAAAAGGAAGATTTCTGATGCCCTGTTTATCACATTAGATATAGGACGTGATGTATTTATCACATAGGATACAAAAGAAACTATGACGTGGTTTTCTATTGACAACATGATTGACAGACACAGTTTATAATGGATAAGGAAGATGTTTGATGGCCTATTTATCAGTTTAGATATAGGATGTGATGTATTTATCACATAGGTTACATAAGAAACTATGACATTGTGGTTTTCTAATGACAGGCAATGTTTATAAATGGATAAGGAAGATTTCTGATGGCCTGTTTATCAAATTAGATATAGGAATTGATGTATTTATCACATAGGTTACATAAGATACTAAGACATGTGGTTTTCTTATGACAGGCACAGTTTATGGATAAGGAAGATTTCTGATGGCCTGTTTATCACATTAGATATAGGACGTGATGTATTTATCACATAGGTTACAAAAGAAACTATGACGTGGTTTTCTATTGACAGACATAGTTTCTAATGGATAAGGAAGATGTTTGATGGCCTGTTTATCACACTAGATACATGACATGTGATGTGTTTATCACATAGGTTAGAATTGTAACGTATGATTTTTGTCGAGCCTGCGACTTTTGTCGCAAAAGCGAGACATAGCGTCCACAAATATTCACTCTGTGGTTAAAGTTTTTGAAATTTTAATAACTTTCTTAACCATTTCTACCAAACTTGGACAGAAGCTTGTTTATGATCATAAGATAGTATCCAGAAGTATATTTTGTAAAAAATAAATCCTGTTTATCTGTATTTTACTTATAAATGGACTTAGTTTTTCTGCCAAATAACATTACTTCACTCTGTGGTTAAAGTTTTTAAAATTTTAATAACTTTCTTAAACTATCCTGGATTTGTACCAAACTTGGACAGAAGCTTGTTTGTGATCATAAGATAGTATCCAGAAGTAAATTTTGTAAAAAGAAAATCCCGTTTATTCGAATTTTACTTATAAATGGACTTAGTTTTTCTGCCAGTTAACATAACATTCACTCTGTGGTTTTTTTAAATTTTAATAACTTTCTTAAACTATCCTGGATTTGTACAAAACTTGGACAGACATGACAGAAGCTTGTTTATGATCAAAAGCTAGTATCTAGAAGGAAATTTTGTAAACATGTATTTCCTGTTTTTCCATATATTACTTATAAATGGACTTAAATTTTCTTCCAGTTAACATTACATACAGTCTGCAGTTAAAGTTTTAAAACATTTATTAGATTCATAAACCATCTTGGATTTTTACCAAACTTGGATAGAAGCTTCTTACAATCAAAAGATAGTATCTAGAGGAAAATTTTTAATAATTTTTTCCCCATTTTTGTTGAGCCTGCGACTAACAGCAAAAGTAGGCGAGACACCCGTTTCTGCAGAACCCTTACGAATTTTTATTATCAGGTACACTCTATGAAGATGATTAAGACTCGGGAGGGCATTTCTTGACCTATTTCATAATATGTGTTGTGATTTGATTATTAACAGGTACTCTCTATGGTGATGATTAAGACTCAGGAGGACATTTCATGGCCTATTTTATAACATTTGTTGTGATTTGATTATTAACAGGTTTTATAACATTTGTTGTGATGGGATTTTTAACAGGTACCCTCTATGATGAACATTTGTTGTGATTTGATTATTAACAGGTACACTATGATGATAATGAAGACTCAAGAGGACATTTCATGGCCTATTTTATAACATTTGTTGTGATTTGTTTATTATCAGGTACTCTCTATGGAGATGATGAAGACTCAGGCGGACATTTCATGGCCTACTTTATAACATTTGTTGTGATTTGTTTATTATCAGGTACCCTCTATGGAGATGATGAAGACTCAGGCGCACATTTCATGGCCTACTTTATAACATTTGTTGTGATTTGTTTATTAACAGGTACTCTCTATGGAGATGATGATGACTCAGGAGGACATTTCATGGCCTACTTTATAACATTTGTTGTGATTTGATTATTAACAGGTACTCTCTATGGAGATGATGAAGACTCAGGCGGACATTTCATGGCCTACTTTATAACATTTGTTGTGATTTGTATAGCAGGATATATAATATATCATAACAAACAAAAGGTTAGATCTATAATTAATTATGAAATACACAAACAATAAAGAATATATTTCGATGATGAGAGAGATATTTTAACAATTATGTGCCCTATTATATCTTTATATGAATATCATTTATTGTGGAGGTATTAATAAAGATATTACATCTTGGATGATTAAAGAAATGTTACTTAGTTATCAACTTATGTAATGAAATCATTTATTTCTGATTAAATTTCTAATAAGCATATATATATATCTATATTTCAAAAGTGCGTCGCCAATTACTCTCCTTATATCCAAAAAATATTAAGATTTATTTTTTTATAATACACATCACCAGTGAATGGCCATGTGTTTTTCATATACACACACATACAGACAAGTTATATTTCCTCCTAACAAAATCATATTGTGACATATACACACACATACAGACAAGTTATATTTCCTCCTAACAAAATCATATTGTGACATATACACACACATACAGACAAGTTATATTTCCTCCTAACAAAATCATATTGTGACATATACACACACATACAGACAAGTTATATTTCCTCCTAACAAAATCATATTGTGACATATACACACACATACAGACAAGTTATATTTCCTCCTAACAAAATCATATTGTGACATATACACACACATACAGACAAGTTATATTTCCTCCTAACAAATTCATATTGTGACATATACACACACCTACAGACAATATATATTTCCTCCTAACAAAATCATATTGTGACATATACACACACATACAGACAAGTTATATTCCCTCCTAACAAAATCATATTGTGACATATACACACACATACAGACAAGTTATATTCCCTCCTAACAAAATCATATTGTGACATATACACACACATACAGACAAGTTATATTCCCTCCTAACAAAATCATATTGTGACATATACACACACATACAGACAAGTTATATTCCCTCCTAACAAAATCATATTGTGACATATACTCACACATACAGACAAGTTATATTTCCTCCTAACAAAATCATATTGTGACATACACACACACATACAGACAAGTTATATTCCCTCCTAACAAAATCATATTGTGACATATACACACACATACAGACAAGTTATATTCCCTCCTAACAAAATCATATTGTGACATATACACACACATACAGACAAGTTATATTTCCTCCCAACAAAATCATATTGTGACATATACACACACATACAGACAAGTTATATTTCCTCCTAACAAAATCATATTGTGACATATACACACACATACAGACAAGTTATATTCCCTCCTAACAAAATCATATTGTGACATATACACACACATACAGGCAAGTTATATTTCCTCCTAACAAAATCATATTGTGACATCTCACACACTTACAGACAAGTTATATTTCCTTCTAACAAAATCATATTGTGACATATACACACACATACAGACAAGTTATATTTCCTCCTAACAAAATCATATTGTGACATATACAAACAACTACAGACAAGTTATATTTCCTCCTAACAAAATCATATTGTGACATATACACACACATACTGGCAAGTAATATTTCCTCCTAACAAAATCATATTGTGACATATACACACACATACAGACAAGTTATATTTCCTAACAAAATCATATTGTGACATATACACACACATACAGACAAGTTATATTTCCTCCTAACAAAATCATATTGTGACATATACACACACATACAGACAAGTTATATTTCCTAACAAAATCATATTGTGACATATACACACACATACAGACAAGTTATATTTCCTCCTAACAAAATCATATTGTGACATATACACACACATACAGACAAGTTACATTTCCTTTTTACAAAATCATATTGTGACATATACACACACATACAGACAAGTTATATTTCCTCCTAACAAAATCATATTGTGACATATACACACACATACAGACAAGTTATATTTCCTAACAAAATCATATTGTGACATATACACACACATACAGACAAGTTATATTTCCTCCTAACAAAATCATATTGTGACATATACACACACATACAGGCAAGTTATATTTCCTCCTAACAAAATCATATTGTGACATATACACACATATACAGACAAGTTATATTTCCTCCTAACAAAATCATATTGTGACATATACACACACATACAGACAAGTTATATTTCCTCCTAACAAAATCATATTGTGACATATACACACACATACAGGCAAGTTATATTTCCTCCTAACAAAATCATATTGTGACATCTCACACACTTACAGACAAGTTATATTTCCTTCTAACAAAATCATATTGTGACATATACACACACCTACAGACAAGACATATTTCCTCCTAACAAAATCATATTGTGACATATATAAACACCTACAGACAAGTTATATTTCCTTCTAACAAAATCATATTGTAACTGCAAAATATACTTGAAAGATTAAAAGTACAAAACACAAATACTTTTCTTGTAAAAAAAACACAAATTTAAGACTCACATTTGTAAGTTTTATGTCTTGCATGTGTTGAAATTGCAGAATGAGAGACAAAACAACGGGATACTTATCCTGGGGCCAGGTGCCATTGTTAACTATTTATTTAAAGCTTAGTATTTTAGATGACCTGGATGCTTTATACCTTGTCATACATTTATCATATGTCTATTGTCCTTGACCTCATTTTCTTTGATCAATTACTTTTTGTCGAGCCTTCGACTTTAGTCGAAAAAGCGAGACATAGCGATCCTACATTCCGTCGGTGGCGTCATCGTCGGCTGCGGCCACAAATATTCACTCTGTGGTTAAAGTTTTTGAAATTTTGATAACTTTCTTTAACTATCCTGGATTTCTACCAAAATTGGACAGAAGCTTGTTTATGATCATCATGATCATAAGAATATATCCAGAAGTAAATTTGGAAAAATAAAATTCCATTTTTTCTGTATTTTACTTATAAATGGACTTAGTTTTTATACGACCGCAAAAAAATTTTTGTGGTCGTATATTGGTATGACGTTGGCGTCGTCGTCGTCGTCGTCGTCTGGCGTCGTCCGGCGTCGTCCGAAGACACATTGGTTTTCGCACTCTAACTTTAGTTTAAGTGAATGGATCTCTATGAAATTTTACCACAAGGTTCAATACCACAAAAGGAAGGTTGGGATTGTTTTTGGGGGTTATGGTACCAACAGTAAAGGAATTAGGGGCCAAAAAGGGGCCAAAAATAAGCATTTTTGTAACTTCCAGACATAACTTGTGTGTTAGTGTATGGATCTCTCTGACATTGTACCACAAGGTTCCATATCACAAAAGGAATGCTGGGATTGATTTTGGGGGTAATTGCCTCAAAATTTTAGGAATTAGGGGCCAAAAAAGGGGCAAAAAACAAGCATTTTTCTAGTTTCATAACAATAACTTGTGTTTAAGTGTATGGATCTTTCTGAAATTGTACTACAAGGTTCCATATCACAAAGGGAAAGCTGGAATTGAGTTTGGGGGTAATTGCCGAAACATTTAGGAATTGGGGGCCAAAAAGGGGCCAAAAATAAGCATTTTTCTAGTTTCCAGACAATTACTTGTGTTCAAGTGTATGGATCTCTCTGAAATTGTACTGAGAGGTACCATACCACAAAGGGAAGGCTGGGATTGATGATGGGGGTAATTGCCTCAATATTTTAGGAATTAGGGGCCAAAAAGGGGCAAAAAACAAGCATTTTTCTAGTTTCAGGACAATAACTTGTGTGTAAGTGTATGGATCTTTCTGAAATTGTACTACAAGGTTCCATATCACAAAGGGAAAGCTGGGTTTGAGTTTGGGGGTAATTGCCCTAAACGTTTAGGAATTTGGGACCAAAAAGGGGCCAAAAAACACATTTTTCTAGTTTCCAGACAATAACTTGTGTTCAAGTGTATGGATCTCTCTGAAATTGTACTGCAAGGTACCATTCCACAAAGGGAAGGCTGGGATTGAGTTTGGGGGTGATGAATCATAAGGGGGTTCAAAATATTTGTGGGGGGGGGATTTTTTTTTTTTCATTTTTTTTTTCTTTTAAAATTTTCCATTTTAAGTTGGTTATTTCTGATTTATATTTAAAAGCAAATAATAATGATATTGTAGGAGATACACACCAAACAGGATGTGTAAATTATTATATAATAAGTATTGTGCAATAGCAAGAAATTTTCAATTGCGCAGTATTGCACAATAGCAAGAAATCTTCAATTGCACAGTATTGCGCAATAGCAAGAAATCTTCAATTGCACAGTATTGAGCAATAGCAAGAAATATCCAATAGCACAATATTGCGCAATAGCAAGAAATTGTCAATTGTACAGTATTGCGCAATAGCAAGAAATATTTAATTGCACAGTATTGTGCAAAAGAAGATACTTCGTATAAATTGCTTATTTCTTGACCAATTTCAATGGGGTTTTATTCTTGAATTCTTGGGTTTCTTTAATATGCTGAATCTAACCATGTATTTAGTTTTTGGATTTTGGGCCCCGTTTTTTTAATTGGTCCAAATTGAGGTCCAAAGGGTCCAAAATTAAACTTTGTTTGATTTCATCAAAAATTGAATTATTGGGGTTCTTTGATATGCCGAATCTAACCATGTATTTAGATTCTTAATTTTTGGTTCCGTTTTCAAATTGGTCTACATTAAGGTCCAAAGGGTCCAAAATTAAACTTAGTTTGATTTTAACAAAAATTGAATTCTTAGGGTTCTTTGATATGCTGAATCTAAACATGTATTTAGATTTTTGATTATGGGCCCAGTTTTCAAGTTGGTCCAAATCGGGGTCCAAAATTAAACTTTGTTTGATTTCAACAAAAATTGAATATATGGGGTTCTTTGATATGCTGAATCTAACCATGTATTTAGATTTTTGATTTTTGGGCCACGTTTTCAACTTTGTCCACATTGAGGTCAAAAGGGTCCAAAATTAAACTTTGTTTGATTTCATCAAAAATTAAATTCTTGGGGTTCTTTGATATGCTGAATCTAACCATGTATTTAGATTTT